TTTACATTTGGCCGTAATACAATTAGTATGCTAATATTACTGATGCAATGACATGCAAGACCTGTACATGTTACTGTGAAGTTTGCCTGTAATAACATTCCCTCCATAGTAAATACAATGCTTGTGATAACAATTCGTCATTATCTTTTCATTGCGTTGATAGGTGCGTATATATTAGAAAAAAGCTAACCTTGTCGTATTAGTTCTCTAAATTACAATCACTAAGTGCCCATTACCTCTGCTGAATACCAAGTGCTACTCGTGGCCCATGAACTACTTATTACTGCATTCGTAAATAACTGTCAAACTATTATTACATAGAGTAGTGAAACAGAAGGCGTATGAAATTTAGATATTAATGTGTATCTGAAGTTAACGACACAATATATATGTACATGTTTCATTTCCAAGCAAGAGAATTTTATAGGGTGATGTAGGGCTGAGCGCAGTGAGTTAAGAGTGTATTCTTTACTGTATACATATTGTATGAGTGAAATGCTTCTATTCAATTTTCGGCAAAGCTTCAATATCGTCCTGCAGGGTTTCTTCAATGCACTCTCAGGGAACAATACTTGGTACTGAGGAATCCAGCCAAAAGCATCTGTGACACAGTCGAATGACTTTTTCAACTAAAAGCCGCAATACTGATATTAAGTGTGATTTACCTGTAAACTGAGGGACTCTAGTGTAACACAGCACCATATCCCAGCAGGGTATTCTTTGTGTTTTACAGGTACAAGTAGAATTCATGGACTGAGCATTTGTCAAATATGGAGGCGACCCACTGAGTCACTTAGACGAAGGGCTGAGGAAATGCGATACCTTATACACGCACCTTCAGATGTAGGCATGTGTCACTTCACATGAACTCTGAGCCATATCGAGTAGGCATTCCTTTAAATCTACCCTACCTTGTACGCTGAATTATTGTTCGTATATACGTGATGACTTGGTGCGTTTCCTGGTTTGCCTATAATTACGGAATGTACATTATATTAGGGAACACAAATGGATTTTGTGAAAACCAGTGGTGTTCCTTTTCTAGTCTTAACTGATGTCACATTGATTGACACGATTAAAGGAATAGATTGTAACATGGTGTTTTCTGTAGCTGCGAAACATAGATACCTAGTTTCGAATTGACATCATGCGTCTAATCCTGTTAACCTACGGGCATAGTTTATCCTTCACGATACCTAGAAGTCAAGAGCAGACTGTCTTGGACAGACCTAGTTTTACTTTGTGACTAATTGGTGAGTCACCTGGTGTTGTGGTAGTAGAAAAAACAACTCCAAACCTTAGTATTTTCTAGATATGAACATATTTACTTACTTTGGCGACAATTTCATATTAGGGATATTAACCTTTACTTAGTAATTTGGATCCGAAAGTAAACGCCATATTACTAAGTTATTCAAAAGACAGAATGATGAGTGAAATAGTACTCGGATACTTATTCTAACGAAACCGAATAATGATAATCGTTTAGCCTACCAATATGCCGCTTACTTTCAGTCTTAATTTAAAGACAAATTTAGTTGCTCACTAAATTAATAGTTTCAGAAGACTGCTCTACTCCTGTCTTCGAAATACTTTGCCCGATCGTGTTTTACTTCAAAATATTTGTATACTGGCCAGTTGATGTTGCTTATCCAGTTACACTGTTTTTCAGTTAATGTCCCACCTATTTCCTATCAAACGAAATATCCCTCAAACCATCAACGAGTAGCCATCGTTTTTAAATAAATAACCTTAACTATTCGCATGTAAACAATGCTAATGACTTTATCACTTACGTGATGTTTCAACTTTCGATTAATCAGTTTTCCCATTCATGAGCACCTGTTTCAATTTTAACGGATAGTTCTAGCCTTTGACTACTGAATTAATACGTTTCGTTATATACCATCCTTACGAATTATAGGTACTAATAATAATCACTGCTAACAGATTTATCACGAGAACGAGAATGCACTCCATACTGACGACAATATACCTCAGAGGCGGTAGCATCTTCTAAACGCACTACTCAATACAACACATGACCCTAACTCTGTAGCTCACAACATTCTATAAAGTTAGTGGTGACTATTAACAAGTAGAATGTCTATTTGAGGTATAGGGAATATATTTATTAGTGATTCGACACAAAATACAAAATCAACGGTACTGGAAACCACTTTCTTCAGCAACGAATCCAACGAGGTCACTGGAACTACAGATTACCTAAAAAAGAAAAGGGTGCACAGCATGTATACATGAATATAACTGCCAATATAATATTAACGAGATACCAAAGTAAGAATTAATGAAAGTTTATATCAATATGCGATTACATCAATTACTATTTTTGACACAAGTGGATATTTAGACGAAGTGATAAAACGTAATTTGTCTGAGTCGTGCATTGTTGTATTTGTGCAACACAATTTGGACAATCTGGTCACGCATGGACTTGTCATAGGAATACATATGAAATTAATACAGTTAAGAGGTCAGAAAATAAATTCACGTCGAATTAAGATCACATATCGAAGGTCAAAATAACAATGAACATCACTAAACCAAATAACAGGTATTAGTACATCTACCCTGACTGGTATCCAAACCAAGTTTAACAAAGAAGGTTTCGTGTGATGACAAATAGTTTTGGAACTCACAAAAGTGGTTTAAACTTCCGAATCACACTTCGGATTCCACAAACTTTAGGACCCAATCCAAACACGTTTTACAGATAGGTTTAAAAAAATGTGCAAACGTCAATTTTATGTTCTGTCCATATAATATGTTTCGAAATAGAGGAGCTGGGACCCCAATAATGGCTTCTGAAGATTCTGTTGCTTCTGGAGGCATTTAGAAATATGATGCGTAGCCCTTACTTGCAGAAATCGATGAGTCCCCCTAAAATGGATACAGCAACCGCTTCTAAACCTTACGTCCATAGCTTTAAGAGATGTCGGACACTACTTCTACGTGGTTTCAAATTAATTTTGTGAATTAACTTTGAACAAACGCATATAATTTGGCGTCAGGGCAATAACAAAAATCGGAAGTTTATGAAACCAAACTCAATAATAGAACAAAATGACGCACACCACAGATGTCTTTACGTACCTGATCACGAGGATGGTATTGAAATCCACCAAATTACTAAAATGTTGCAGTGTGCATTTAAATCATTTAAAAATTTTGGCAGAAAACAGTGAATGTTGTAGGTTATCGCAAAACATATCGCAGTTTCTGCCCATTCGTGAACACTAATTTTCCCTTGTATCTATGCATCCCATTGACTTTCAGCCATCAAAACACCACACGAAAGTGCGGAAGGATGCACGAATTCGATATCAATCATATTTCGGTTCCTGCAACAGTAATAGGTACTGCACAACAGCTGATAGGGAAATTCGAGATCGAGTACAGGTTTCCGCCAAGCTGCAAGGAAATCTATCGAATGACAGTCGTCGAAATGTACGCGAAGCTTACTCGGTATGCCAAATAATCATTGCATGAACCATGTATTTAAGCGTCCTGTCACACAAGCAATCAGTAAATGCTCAAGAACGATATCGAACAACAATTTTCATATAAATTCATCCAAAAAGAGCAAAATAAGCACCGAAATCGCGTCTACTGCGTTTGCTGGACGGCTAGCTACAACTCGAATCAACGAAACCGCGCAAATGCTGTCAAGGTTAAGCCAGAGGCGCCACTTCAAATAGGGGATATGCTTTATCAACGCCCGTTCTATAGCTCCATCCTTAAGGTTTGTTTGTAGACTGAGATACTTACTGTAATGTACCCCTGTGCTTTGAGTATCATATAATTCCTTCTTACTATTTTTAGTTAGCACAAAATACAAAAATGGAATATCAAGTGCAAATTTAGTGTCTAAAGATGGAAATATTAGATGAAACAATGCTTCTACCTACAGGTGAAAACTAACTTCTGCTGTGTATGCTTCCACTTTCCGAGGTCAGTTGTAATGGTATCTTATTGATACACCTTGATTTGAACCCTACCTGAATGGCTTAATCCAGTCGTTGGACCTACAAGCCCAGCTGTAAAGAATATCTGCAAAATACTCTTGACAAAAGTTGTTTTCAACCAGCTAGGGGAATATCCCAGTATCATCATTCGATTTATGTGGCTGGAATATCATGTCTCTCTAAACCTCTATTTTGCCTGAATTTATTATCGAATGATGTAAACTAAGTGGTGCTCACTAATCTGTACTAATCCTGGACCAACTGAAGTAATCTGCTAAGTCGTAATACTTCCCTTGAGCCAGCCAGTGTGAATCATAGATAGCACGGTAATGGGTTGCCACAGCTGAGTCTGAGGGAAAAAGGAAATGAGAGGGGTTAGATAGGCGCTAGAATTTTTTATTAACAACCTAGTAATTTATGCTGAATTTCTGTGTTGTTTCTCGCCGAGGAGATTTTGCTTTCGACTATTCATCTGTATATATTTTACTCCTTTCGGATACAAAACACCTGCTGCCTTTCTGTTTACTACTTCTCTTAACTTGACTGAACCCTGTTAAACCACAGTGTGCCCGGTATTTGCTTCTGTGAGGACTATTGCAAGATGAACAGACATTCACAAATTTCATCAAAGTCAGTGCTGTCGAACAGACTTAGTACCACTTGGCAACGAAATTAAAAGCCTCTCACCGTAGTTTTCAGGACATAGGGTATAAAATTTCCCCACTGATGACTTAGAGGTCAGGGAAAATCGTGAGAATAAAGTGTAATAGTTAAAAAACGGTCATAAATGAACATAAGCAATGAATAATTGCAAAACAAAATCTTGGCATTCATATGACTCAAAGTATTATTGTGCAATTTATCAGTAAATCCAGGTGTTTTTACATATGTTAATTCGAATGATTACCTGAAGATCTTTTCTAGCTGCTATTCTTCGCTTTTAATACGAAAAGGTATGTAGAATTCAGGCTGAAAGTTATTGAATACTTGACGTTGCTGCGCTACTGCTGCGAATTTGGAGTCATACAATAACCGGCGCTCGGTACGAGACATTCTGGAAGTTCGGCTCGAAACTGTAATTGCTCATGTTATAAAATTCTATTCCGACTAGCACCACTCATTTACCATATATCGATGATAAGTTCAGGCGAGAATAAGGAGAGGTGCTAGATTTAGCCGGACATTCAAGCTAGAATCAACTCTGGGCGCACTACAGGAACCCCGAAACTTTCTGCGCCTGAAGTTTCCTCACTTCACTCGAAGAAAATGACATTTCAGTCAACATTTACCGAATGAGAATACTATGTTATCCTGCCAGCTGGTTGAAAACAGGTGTTATGGGTAGTAGCTTGGCGATATTTGATTCCAGAGTGTTAATTGAGGACGTCGTTTCGGTACTAAAGTGTCTTATAATAAGAGTGCTCTTGTTCGCTACCCCGGATTCAACGTTGAGTTAGATCCTTCTGTCAGAGATGACTGTCGTTATTTGAAATGTCCTTCAATGCAGAAACATCATATGTTGGATAACTTTTACTCTTCGCTGTCAAATGAGGCTGTTAGATGTAACGTAGCCACGTCAAATAACAAGTATCCATGTAAGTGTTATTATGTGCTATAGCGTTGGACGTTGTAAAATTTATTAGAGGATTTTATAATGGGTCGATTTCCTTTGTAGCGATCTCAAAATCGTGTCTCACCTCATAGAAATAAATTTCTCATAAGTATATGAGTTGTTAATAGACTAGCAAATAAACTAATTTCCAATTTTTATCAGACCATAAATATAGTAATTACACCAAGATGGTGAATGCCACCCTGATGTGGTAATCGGGCTTGTGTGTAGGAAGTACCCAACAAATTATGTTGACAGATAATTGGTTTCTGGAGGACTATTGACCTTAATGGAGTATCATCATGCATTTGTATGTGCACACATTTGTAGGTATTCTGTGTTCTTCAAAACGAAAATGTGGTGTGCACTTAGAAAACATGTTGGTAGGTATTCCGTTGGAGTTATCGAAGATCTTCACTTTGACTTAGTAGTGAGTCTGCTTCAGAAACTGGTTGTAGTATTGTAATATATACATATGTGTTATGTCTAGTATGTTATGTATATTGCAATAACGAAAACAGCTAATTGAGCGGACTCCGGCTGTCAGGTGTTCCTATCTAAATTCACGTGTAATATATCTTCGGATTGTTTTTATATGTGTGGCATTAGAGTGAAGAATTACTGTCTTTCCGAAAATATAAATACGTTCTAAACAAGTTTCATTGTTACGAAGTGTTAGTTGGTGCTATACATCCTCCCCTGTTTATGACTGACTAGACACGAAGATGTTTCTGGTTATTCGGTAGACATTTAGTAGCAAGTAAGGATAGGAAAATCTACTAAGGTGTACAACCCTCCAGGTGCTAGTCCATGAGACGTCTGATGATATATCTGAGATATTTGGGGAAGTTGAGATTGCTAGAGTGTAGCTTGGAGTTTATCAAGGTGACACGGATGTATTCTGTGTTTCACGTTTGTAATTGGCTTTTCTCCTCTCCTTTGCTTTTTGTTTATTTCACTGAAATTCATTTTGGCTGTTACTATAACAAATTGCAGTGATGCACTTATGTGGAACGCTCGACGAATGTCTGTTCGACATTTGTGTTAGGGTAGGCAGGAAAGTTAAGGTGAATACAGTAGTAGTAACATGCTGACTCCGTAGCTTGATCTATTTTTGAAGACTATGAAGTCTCGCTATACCTGGCCTGTTTCTTCAGTTGACATGATGACGTCTATGTACGAAATGCCTTATAATGCGGTGGGAAATGCTAGTGTCACCTGCCTGAAACTACTTCACAAGTATGACCGACTAACAATTCACAACAGAAGTCAATGAGATAGCTGCAGGTAAGTGATAACAAGGCGATATGCGAGGAGCAGCAGGACATTTTCTATGAGTAGTAGTACAACGTCTGTGTGTGTTTTATTGATTGAAATTCTTAGTTGTTTGCTTCCAAAAGAATGAAATTTCCAAGTAATCGAGTGGTAAACGACCTTTTAGTGATTGCTGTGTAGTTGGGGAAAGTCACTGTTGATTGTTCCACGTATTATGGAGAGGCGAAGACATAATTATGTTCTTTTGGGTTAAGTAAGTCGTTAATATGGACTTATGTTTAGGATGCTAAATTGATTCGCATACTGAGTGATCATATTTATATACATCTACCTATAGTATTTGTTAATTGATTTTTAAGTGAATATGTTCTGCTCGTTTTAATCGATTCGCCAGCTTGTAGTAAAAAAGAAGCAACTGAGACCGTTATAATACTTTCCGGTTCAGAGTCTGGTGAGACCGATTCCGACAGTTCAGGAGACGAAGAAATTGCAAATAAAAGTGGAGTTCGTCCTACTGAAAATTCTTCCTTGGTCAATGAACCCGAACAAGGAACAACTACACCGTCTCATCCGCTGACGGTTGAAAGTGATTCTCCTAATGAAAGCGCTGACCAGTCATCTGTTTCAACAGTGTCAGCTTCAAAGCGTCCATGTTTGGAAGCGTTTAGTGTTGGTGTCCAGCCTTACAGGCCATATGAAAATCTTCCTGATGTGCACGGAGGCTATCAACGTGTGCTCAAATCTCTTAAAAAATCACGTGAGTGTCTTAGTGCCCAGAGCAATGGATCGGGCTTAGTAAATTTATCAGATACTGGCCCTGGAACACCGTCTGTTCAACGTGATCGTAACAATAGTAGTTATTACTCTCGGTAGACATGTTGAGAGTAATAATTGCGTTGTGATTTGTATTTTATGAATGACTTCAATTCTTGCAGAGAATATCTATGTCAATTGTTTTTCTCTTCATTTCACGAGTGTGTATTTTCTGTAAGTATCAGATCTCGATTACTTTTTCTCTTAATGACGAATGGTTTGATAACTTCTCGTCAATACAAATAATGTTATGCAGTGTTAATTAAATGTTTATGAACTGTTTCACTGACTTCTTTTCTTGGTGTGTTCATGATTAGATTTTGTAAACAAATATTATACGTATGTCACATTAATGTTTTTAACTTTCAGGTGGAGACTGCTTTAAGACTACGAGTCTATATGCTGTACTTCTAATCATAAGTCTGAGAGTCAATTTTGTTGGTCATACTTGATTATATGCATTAGGAATACATTATTAGCTGTGTCACAAGGTTTTGAATGGCCATCAGGCTTCGTCTCTTTTTCATAGTAGTTATAAGATGTTATGTTTTCGCTGAATAATTAGAAATATACTTGCTCAATGAAACGTCTATTGCGCGAGGCACCGTTTTTCAATTACCTACCAGCAGATATCAAAGAACTGTGTTTTCAGCCGTGTATGTTGTTGTCCCACGTGAAGTGAAAACATATAATAGGTGATACTAGAGTTTGGTTTAGTTTGAGACAAAGGTTAGTGAGTTAATTACCTAATGAATCCTTACCGAATGTCATCTGCAACATGTGTCACTGATTGTAGGATACTACCTCTCTGCCTTGGTCAGCGGTGTTGACTGCGGTTGAATTAGTTTGAAAACAAGTTGTGGTCTGTTCCATGAAAATATGTCATGAATTTTGTGAGGTGCTAAGGACCAGTAGTTGAAGAGTTTTGGTTATATGCTTCAGGAGCGTTAGAAGTTGCTCAGATTCGTTTACTCTTGGGCATTCTGGAAGTTGTCGTCATCTTCATGATTCGGAATAATGCATTTGTATGCCGACTCCGGCGGCGCCAACCAATTACTGAGTCATTGGAGTGCTGAAAGATTATTTTCAAAATCTGATAATACTGTTTAGAGCTAAAACTTGTTTGGAGAAAAGTATGAAAATACTTAGTAATTAACAACTTATCACAGAAGTAGAGAAGAAATCACAATAATTAGCCAAGTGATTATCGTTAACGCAGATATGTACATTTGCACAAATTATTCTTCAATCGTGGGGAGGGATGAGTTCAGGGTTTTATGGTATCCATAGTACTTGGATGCCTTAAATAGTTGATGGGTAATATACTTTCTTAATTCTGTATTTCTAATATCCTGATGATCCTTACTAATCTTCTTCGTCTTCTTTCGTTCATTGTATTTCTGCAGTAAGTGGTTTAGTAGAATCTCCTTAAAATGACGTGAGTAGAAATTGTGTTCAGTACCCCGAACCTTTTCTTTTCAGTGCAATGGCTTAGAAGTAACATTTTTTTTAAAAAGTATACAGGTCTATTTCACTGTAGAGTATTAATTTGCTGCGTCCGTTCAACGGTTAGGGTGAAAAAGGTTTCAAGTGTAGTTCGCATTTCTCTCATTAATATGTAGTTACATCTAGAGTTACGTAGTTAAACCTGGTAATATTGCATAATGGCCCAAGTTGCCACACTGTATGTCATTTTCGAGGCTATAGGGTGAAAAACAAAGAAACTAAACCATCCGATCACCGATGTTGGAAATCGCTAGATAAGTGGAATATGAACATGGCTAAAATTTTCCATTGCAGTTAAAATAAAGACCGAGTTTATATCGGTGTGACAGATCGATTGTTAACAAACTGCAACATTGTGTGGGTTTTATGAGAATAATATATTGGGGTTTGAGGCTTATGTGGGAACGTACATGACTCCTTTATGATCCGTTCAACTAATGTGATTGGAAATCATTAATGATGTTGCAGATGAAAGCACTCATTGCACTCAATCTGATTTCACACTGATTTTTATCATGCAAAACAATATCAACATACAAGTGTGTGGATTTATTATTGCAAGAATATTTAAGTCGTATTTATCAGTTGGAAATCTTCTTTACTGAGGATGTCGATTTACTAACAATTTGCTTTGGCTTCATTCAACACAGCACATGACTAGATGTCGTTTTCACCTCGTAGTAATTCATGCTTTTGGTAAACATTTTGATATGTGTATAAGTCTGAGTATTGTTAGTCAAGGATATCGTTTGCATTTTGGTAATACGTGGTATCATGCCAAATAATGTGACATGTTAGATAAGATTTGGAACATAGCAAAGGCTTGTTGTTGAATGAAGGGATAGGTAAAATAGTTCTGAATCGGTTGCAGTTCATTCGCATTCATACTTTCATGTTCTTAACATTGTATATCAAACAGTGCTTTTTTCGGTTACTAGCTTATGTGTTATACTTCTGTTAGGATTTTAATGATGGCTTGTTTTAGTAGCTGCAGTATTTAGTAGAAATGAGATTAGAGGTTGGAATCTTGCCTCACTTTGAGGCTTTTAGAACCTAAAAGTAACATAACGACCTCCTTAGACTTTGTTCTTAAACTGATGTTGGAATGTGTTAAATTATTAGGCTACAGTCTTTAAGTCTTAGATTACTGTTCTTAGTGTTTGATATTAGTTTACAGCATGGTCCGTATATTTTAGGAATTTATTAATGTGTGCATGTCAGCTTTGAAATAAAGCACTAGTTCCACATCTGTATGTTTTGTCGATATAATCACTGAGACAGCATTAGGTTTGAGAGAGTAGAAGTCGTTTGGGCGTATGTCAAGCATTTTCCACTAACAGGGCTTTTCCACATGTATGTGCCCTACACTGATGAGGACATTTGTTTTTCGTGTTTTTTATTTGTTTATTGGAGTGACGATTTACGGGAAATAACCCTAAATATTGTTTACATAATAATAACCGCTTTCAGTTGAACAAAACGGAATAGTTGTTCAGATTTTAGAATCTTGAATGTCTGTCGCTAACCTCGTTGAGTGGTTATTACTTACCCGCTGATAAGTGATTGCAAAGCTTTTGCTAAACATAGTCATGAAGAAGGGTAGAAAATCTGCGAAGACTTCAAGTATTTAACCATTGTTGTCTGTGTACGCATGGAGTGTGCTTAGTCTAATCACCACATGAACAATGTTAAAGTTAGGTTATTAATTTTTGTAATATAGATACTTAAGTCACGAGAGTGAAAGGCCTGTGTCGCTTGATGTAGTTCGCTCACATTTGACATACGTCCAAAGTGTGCGAAGTTAGTAGAGTTAAATATGTGTGGGGAGAAAGAAAGTAAAGAAGATATTAAGAATACGACACGGAGGCGTGGTCGTTCACTGTGTGTTGAAGATATGTGGGGATTTCAGAGGTGGCATGGTCAGGGTTTACGTGACAAACGGAATTTATGATTGGAAACACTTGGCGATGATATGGCTTACAGTCGGCGACACTGAATTTCATTCATCCGAGTTGTTACGCTACATTTGTTAACCTTACCTTTTCATTTTTATGTCATATCTTTTCTAACCTTTAGTTGTGCTATTTTTCTCTTGTCTCTTCCAACCTTCTACCCTATCTTTAGATACGTGACAACTTCAGCCACTGGGGAATATTGCCAGGTCCCATGTCAATAGTGTCTAGATTAGTTGTATAATTGTCGAAGCCTAGTCAAGAGAATCCTACTAGTTATCATATATACATTGAGTAAGCGTTTGTATGCAACAACACAGTGTGCAACCTTGTGATATGTATAGGTTTGTATGTTAGACCTTAGAAAACTCCTGAGTCGTTCAGGACTCAGTGGGCAGAGTTTGCCTGAATTTGTCTTGTAATGATTGGTAGACCATTATCTGAGGTGACAGACTGTGTGTGGGTTCAAAAAATTCAATCCGTAGCCTACTTCCAGTGGTTTAGCGAGGTTCATTGCACAGCTAGTTGATTTTTTGATTTCCTTTTACCTGGTCCCAGATGGAATCATACGACAGACTAACTGACTAAATCGCCTTTCACTGCCGGCAACTCAATCTCCCTAGTGAACTACTTCTCCAGAATATTGTCTACAACACCTGACTTATCCAGTATAGCATAGTTTGGAATAACACAGAAGAATCACTGACAACGCCGAATCAGTCATGTCTTATTGAGGAAGACGAATTCCGGATCAACTACGTGTTATGTGAAGCATTCAACTAATCGTCTTTAGTAGCTTTTATTTATGAGCTAGTCTGAATTAAGCAACTTTCGCCTTTCCTGTCATGTTTAGGAGTGATATTTGCATTTCTCTTCAAAACCTATAAAATAGTTAGGACTCTTCATCATTTTGTTAACACTACCTTGTGACGATTTCTCTTCCATTCCAGATTCGATACAACCATCGATTGATCACTTAAAGTAAAGTTGTGATGCGACGATCTGATAACATTCAGTTAACTGAGAAGGAGATCAATGATTTCATCGGTCGTAATGATGATGAAGATGAGGATAGCGGCAGCGATTGGGATGATATAGGCGAGACTGACTTATCAACTGTGCTATCTAATCCAACAGCTTTTCCAAAAGAGGACAAAACGGGGAAGTCTTCTCACGAAATTGTCTGTTCATCTGATCACAAAGCTGCTGCTAAATGCGTTCAAGGTAGGCTTCTCTATGTATATACATGAGGCCTATAAGTGAAATGTTACCAGATAAAGTTTTCCCCGTGTGAGAATAACGCCTTTCTTTTTATTATATACTTTCACCGTAATTATATGTCCAAAGTGTGTGTGTGTGTGTGTGTGTGTGTGGAATTAGGACACAATATTACTGGTGACTAGTTTAGGATAAACTGTCTTGACTAACTAATATCTATGAGGTAAACAACAATAATGTTTAGCTCAGAAAGATTCACAGAATGAGTTACTGATTACATGGCTAGTTCACTGATATTTATAGTTCAGAGCATATTTCTACTTTGTGTAGTCGTCATTGCTGCGTATGAATGACCCGCTTATTCTCAGTGACAAGGCACAAACA